ATCGTGTTTCAATAAAAATATATGTGAAGTGTTTTGGTAAGTCATCGAATTTCCTGTAGAATTTCCTTTTGATTCTGCAAGATGCAGAAAACCCGCCACACTTCATGTTGGTCACCCTGTATTGATCTATAATTATAATATTAGTCATAAACACAGTTCCATTACCCATGATAATCTTAAATTACATACTGCCGATTTTACTTATATGTTCACAAGCATAAATCTCATTGGTTGTGAGTAATATAACGAAACTATTGACCATATGCTTCAGAAACGCTAGCAAGTCTATGATAGCCACCAATTCCATTTTCCATGTTTTCTATACGGATAGCATAGAAATCAAAAATAACTACAGATACTTCAAGATTAAAGACTTGCTTTACTTAACCGATTACTTGTTATCTGTCAGCTTTCGTATTTTTGCTAATAACATTTATAAGCTGGTGAAAGGTGTTCTTCAGAGAGCCACTTCAATCCTCTTTTGGCAATCTCACCCTTTCATTAATGGAATAGAATGATGCAAAAAACAGAGGTACAATGAAAATAAGCTATTCATTCCGTATAAATATATGGACGATCTCTTAATATTAGATAACCAAGCAGAATCAGTTAAAGAAGAACAGTTTCCTCTGATATATAGGATACATTTGAGCTCAAAAAACACGTTTGGATGGAAGAAATAGCAACTACTCAGACTTGAATATTAATACATATAATCAGTGGTAGAGTAAGTACCAAACTATATAATAAAACCGATGATTTTAGCCTCGATGTCATCTGATTCCCTCATAGTGATACTAATATTTCTATTACCACTAAAGCCTCTGTGGTATACACAGAAACATTAAGAATTGCCTGTACGTTTCCAGGATTGAAACGTTTAACAAAAAATCAGAGGAAATGATGAGAAATCTCTTGAAAAATGTGTACCATGAAGAATTTATAATTACTAATATAGTTAAGTGTATATATAGAAATAAAGTTATCTGTTACAAGTATTCTGACAAGGATTATCTCAATAGCATTACTAAATTGGCTAAAAGAATTATGAAAATTTTTTAGTAGTCATCAATAGTATAACTTATTTTTCATGTGTGTGCTTTGTTTGACTGTTTTGAGCAATGCATTTCACCCATTCCTTTGTCCACTAATCCCAAACCACTGATGAGCCTCATGGGAAAGGGGAATGGTGGTTCGTCTGGTGCAGAGGCGGAAGGAGCCTTCTTTTACTTCATTTCAATTATAGTCACTTTATTACGTTTTTCAAATTATTTAACAAGCTCCACTGAATCCAATTCATTACACTTCACTTATTGGTAGTTCCGGCAATTCTGCAAAAAATGAGAGTGAGAGCGATATATACTCTCATATGCAGAAGCTGACTGGATATCACTATGTATTATGTGGTTGGGGTGTTACCTATGCGATTTCCTCTATGTCTGAAATACCGGCATATATGTAGGTTGTGAGGGGAGAAGGAGGTGGTTTATCCCATATAGCAGCGCCATGGGTAAGGTAGCATTGTGTGGCATACCTGCAATGCACTCATTTTCAACATAAGTATTAGTAGCGCTAGTACATTTGTTCCTAACAAACCACTGGTAGGAGTAATGAATTTGGTCATTGGGGACATCTCATAGTATGTTGGACGAGAGAGGTTCTCGAAAAATGTTTTTGTATATTTTAGTCCATGTTATGAACCTGCAAAGGGTAGAGTCAATCTAAGTCATAAATTCTTCGTCTTTGTTGGCTGAAAAGTTGAAAGGATATACGGAGTTAAGATGATGGACACATTTTTCTTGTTCTATTAAAACAGTGATATGGGGTGTGGTGCATTAGGAACGAAATGCTCGCATTGCGGTGAGAGGGGCGTCGCGCGCGGAGGAATGTAGCAGGATGCAACAGTAGGTAAGAAATACAAGAACAAAAGTACTAATGCTAGAACTATGTATAAAATAATGATCGCATATCGACTGAGCTATATGAAGAACGCTAGAGCTGTAATAACGGCGAATGAATGGTCCGTGACAGCCGCAAGCGGCAGATCGATTACCAAAATCGTTCCTAACGCCCGTCTCCCCAGTGATATGCTGTCATGAAAAGGGGTTCTATGCGTTCAACGTAGACGTTAGCAACTGTTATAAGAAATTCTGATGCGTTATGCGCACTGACCCACGTCAAAGGATCAGAAAACCGAGAAAACGGTCAACCGAACTTTCCCGCTGCCCACAATTGGTAATCTAGAGGGAAAGGAAATAGTGGTATCACTAGAGAGGCAATAACACTCATGATAAAGAGAGCAGTGAGAGGCTGAATTGGTGATGGTGGAATATTGGCGAAAATGGAGTTAACTTGAGGGTGGGGTCGACTTTGTAGATGCTGCTGTGGTGTCGAATGTTTTCTGAGGCGGTGGAAATATGGTAAGGCGGTACATGTTGTTGTAAATATCACTTGAATCTCTTACTATTTTGCGGTGCGAACCGTGTGATGCACTGGTGTACAGAGTTCCGTGCTGGGGCTTAGTTTAGCAGAAACCGTTGTGGGTTCGGAAGGGTTTAGGAAGCTAAAAAGTAGTGGTTTGCCATTAGGCGGATTACAGTGAAAGAGGTCAAGACCTTCAGACCAGACCTTTGTATCCCATACAACAGCGCTTCATAGAGCAAAATAAACTGGAAACTATTTTGCAGGTTTCACCGAGAACATACCTTTTAAAGGTTGATTCCGACTCGTAAATGGTAAATCTTGGGATAGTCGTACTGCTACACGTTCACAAGCTTCACGGATACCTTGCACAAGGTTATTTCCCATACATTCGGATTACCTCTCGGGGTCCTTCTCAATTCCCAACATTCGTACACCCATGGCTTCTACTAGACAGTTATGCAAAGCAATGACAATCCGTCAAAATCGCAATCACCATAGAGCTTATCCCTTGGATATGACAACCCCTCTTGTAGTGGCCTCTATTGGGAACGAGTACCCTGTACCGTCTCCTGCGGCAATATTGGTGCTAATCGGGTCAGGGAAACAGTGCCTGCAGCATATCGTATATCCAGTACTAACTAGTACTATATAGATTTTGAGTAGCTTCAACATTCTGATAAATGCCGCAATTTTGCTTTTCTCTGACAACAACCAAATGTTCCGGGTTCTCAGCGTTTTTATTAAGACATTAGATTAGCTACGAAGAAGTAATCTATTAGTTGTAATAATTTCATCATTACCATTACTTTACTATTTACTTTTACTCACTGCGATTAACTTTATTTCCATTGTTTACTCGCAAGATTCAAAGTGGAATCTTATATCTCGGGAAAATTTGATGAATCTGAACCTTATTCTGAGGTCTAAACTATTTTAGGAAGTAAAGTAGAGGAAGGTCGGGGAGTGGGGAACAGGATGGTGGAGTAGTGCATAGAGATTTTTATATCTCGCTGAAGACGATTAAGCAGTAAAATGAATGGAAAATTGACTTTTTAGTCGTGTATGGAAACTTTTTCCCTCGCAGCTTTGTAAGGAAGACTTCCGACTAGTGAACCCAGAACAGTTTATGGCTTTTATGCTTCACTGATTTCAATTTGTTACACTTTACTAAAGGTACAAACAACAAGAATATAATCCTATACCGTTATTCGAAATACAGTGATCTTTCACAGAGTACTGTCTCGAAAATATCCATTTACAACATTTTCAAGACTGACTTCGGATTACAATTCAGAGTCACCTTGATGCTTTTTCTTTACCAATTTACGAACGGCCTGCTAAAGACCACCAATCTGGGAAGTTGTGCAACCTAATGAACATCTGGAAAGAGCTGTATGGTCTAGGACCCGCTTCGGAGAGACAAACGGTAAAACGTTCCGAAGAGACTAATCAGGTATGAGGAGGTTGCTGAATCAAGCATTGGAATGATTTCGATGAGCATTACAAAACATTGAGCAAACACAACTTGCATGTCGCTGGAAAAAGTAAGGAGTAAGAAGGAAAAAGTAACGAAAAGAAGTCAGAAATTCATATAAAACCAATAAGCAAACACAACAAAATGACAAGGCAGAGAAACAAATTGAAGACGGCACGTTTACATTCCCTCAAAGTTTCAATCTGTGTAATTCCCTGTCCCGATACGCCCGAGTTCTTTATTGACTAATTCTCAAGTTTCTCATAGCCCGCGCTAAGGAATGGGCTGCCCTTGCCCGTGAAGATGCAGTGGAGAAGGTGCCTAACCTGTTTTCGTTGCTCCAGAGAATGATTGTAGCCAAAGAGTTGTTAAAGTCAACACAGACGTGGAGATCTGAGATCGGTAGTTGGATAATGGCATGGCTCGCTTCCATTATGAGTTGTAGAAAGTCTTCAAGGATTGTTAGCATCTATCGATATGTCGTATCAGTACCTATCGATGTTTTAAACAAATTTGAATGTGGATTTTTTGTAAAATGAAATCAGTTAGGTGTTTCATGGATAGAAAAATCCGTGAGCGGCACTTTGAGGACATCCTTCGGATGAGCAAGAGTTGTAAATTTGTCGGTAGGGGGGTGGAGATGTCAGAGAAACTTCTTTTGAATCATGAACTATGCATAAGTCTGTGTATCTCATGACATAATGCTTAGACCAACAAGCCTTACTGCGAAATCACCTATTATGAAGATAACTACGTTTGAGACTTTAGCCAACGAGTTTGCGTGCACCCTCAAAATTTCGCATCAACGTATTTGAGACAACTTGGTACTGCCATTTATAGAAGTGAAGATTTGGGTGATCATAGGATTCCCAACTTAAACTATCAGAAGAGGGGTATACGATGCGTATCTAACTATAAACCTGTTTCCGTTGACCTTCAGTGCTTGGCGATGGCGAGACTGCAGGCTAGAAAGTCCGGCGCTTGGCGCTCAAATGGGCGGCCCAGGTCGTCCATGAGGTCAACCAACGCGGTAGATTATTCATTGCAACATACACCTGTCAGTGGCTGCTTGCTTTGCCTTTCTTCTTCTTCTTTCGAAATAATGGCTTCTGTTTATGGTACGTTTCTTGGTGTTGTTATTCATTTCTTAAGAACAGTAGTCATTTAAAAGAACGTCCTGTAAAAGTTTTGCTTTAGTTGGAAATCTTCCTTACCAAACCACTGAACAGGCCCTTGGAGACTACTTCAGCCAGGCTGGTCAAGTCACCAATGTCAAGTGAGTTATACCAACTTCTATTCGCTTTTTTTCTTAATCAAATTAAATTGGAAATTGTTTAGGATTGTCTACGACCGTGAGACTGGTCGCAACAAAGGTTTCGGATTCTGTGATTTTGCTGATCCAGCAGGTGCTCAGAACGCCGTCAACACCCTCAACGGAGCAGATTTCAACGGACGCTCATTACGAGTGAATTTCGCTAATAAGAACTGATCTCATCACGACGCCTTTGTAAATGTACAAAAGGACTTGACTATGAAATAAACTTCAGTCTGGCTTTGTTGACACCTTCATATCAATCAATGGACGGTTGAATTTGAGAGCAGTAGTTTTCTACAACTGTTCTCTATAAGAGTAAGTGGAAATCATCTCTCAAGAGAACAAGCAGGCTCGGATCAGAGTTTTTCGAGCTGATGGCTTACTTTTTAGGGAGGAAGACTTTAAGTTCCCAAGTCGATGGGATGAAAGTAGCAAGTTAAAGTAGAAGTCAACCAGTAAGAGACATTCTGCGAAGATCCCGCGAAATAAGCACTCTGGTCAAATTTGAGATATCCTAGAT